GGGGAAAGAGAGGGAGGGACATCTGTGGATTAAACAGATGTTGACGCTCTCAGTTTCATGTTACAGGGGCACGGGGTAACTTTCATCAACAGCTGTTAGGGAAAAAAACCCTTTAGGTCATTCTATCTACGTGCATCTCTCAGTCCCAGATCCAGAAAAGCTGTGCGCGCTTAAGAAGATTGAACCCGTGTTACATTGCATAAATTGTGACTTTATTTGCCAACTGGTATTACACAGGGGTTTTTTTCCCCTGCCAGATCCTATTGATAGTTGGCTGTAACTAATAGCATTAGCTGGACAGCTTTTATGGAAGGGATTTCCCTGTTGTTTTAGCAGTTATCAGCCATAAAGAGAGCAATGAAATGGCCTTTTCTTTCATCTGATTATGGAGCCTCAATTCATATGACTATACCCTGAGCACAGCAGGAACGAAATGACCTTCCTTCGCATAAAGCAATGGGAATCAAAATTCTATGGGGACAATAAAAGAAGGAAAAAGACATGTCAGTGACTTAAAGCAGGGGTCGGGGGGGACAGGAGACGGAGGAATTTTGATGCTCATAGAAGTAATAGGCTAAATGCAGGGTATACTAAGCAGAAACTGTACAGTCTTCCCTTGTGTTTTGCTACTAGCTGGCAGGGGGGCTGGCAACAGCTTGTTTGCACTGAGCAAATGGTTACCCTGAGATCAAATTGACTAAATCAGTAGACATACAATCTGTATGTGGCCATAGCTTAGACCAGTGTGTAGTTATTGCTGCCTCTGTGAGGGGTAACTTGACTGGACTGGAGTGACTTCAACCAGTGTAGGGACTGTGGGGTATGTTTCTATTCTACGTTTGCATGACAATAAACTTGCTGTGTCTGCAGGGTGGCCAACCTGTGGCACATATGGCACATGCAGCCTATATGTGTGGCATGCAGCAGGCCAAGGAGGGGATGGATAACACAGTGGCAGATAGGGCAGGGAGCAGAAAATAAGAGCAGCAAATCAGGCAAGGAGCACAGGTCAGGGAGCAGAAAGAGCAGATTGAGTAGGGGAGAGGGATGAGAGTGGTACTTGGAGGGTGTGGGGCCAACTTGTTGCCTGCCTGCCTCCCCAGAGACTTGGCCCCCACTGTGGTGTGCGATCTGTTCTCAGTGGCTGACCTTAAGCTCCCTCCTTCAAGTCACTTGGAAAGCCAGAATCTCCAAGGAAGCCTACATTTTCCAGCATCAGCCACTTCCCACCAGCCAAATCCAGAGCAATCAGGAGGCGCTCGGTGTCCAACTTCCCCATCTTCAGTCCTTAGTGCAGAGGGAGAGGGAGGTCTTTGGGTAGGGCTACTTTTTTCCACCATCTTCAGCAAAAATGTTAATGGGGGGACAGGAAGTGCCCCTTTTATCCTCCAAATGGTGTCACAGCCAGAGAGCAGAGTCTCTGCAGCTCAGGCTGGGCTGTGGTAAACTGTGGGAAGCATTCATGGCTCAAAGTGGCATAGTAACTTAGGTGCTGTTACTAGGGAATCAACAAGTGACTTTCCTAAGTACTGTGGACTCTTGCTTAATTCTCCCAGGTGCTGCTGCTGCTGTCTGAAGAGGAACATTTTGCCCCCTTTCCTGCCATCCTGTTTGACATGTACTTAGAATCATAGAAAATGAGGGTTGGAAAGGACCTCAGGAGGTCGCATCTCGTCCAACCCCCTGCTCAAAGCAGGACCTTCCCCAGCTAGATCATCCCTGCCAAGGCTTTGTCTACCTGGGTCTTAAAAACCTCCAAGGATGGAGCTTCCACCACCTCTGAGTAACCTGTTCCAGTGTTTTACTACCCTCCTAGTGAGAGAGTCTGTCCTAATATCCAACTTAAACTTCCCTTCCTGCAACTTGAGCCCATTGCTCCTTGTTTTGTCATCTGCCACCACTGAGAACAGTCCAGCTCCATCCTCTTTGCAACCCCCCTGCAGGGAGTTGAAGGCTGCTTTTAAATCCCCACTCATTCTCCTCTTCTGCAGACTAAATGAGCCCAGTTTCCTCAGCCTCTCCTCATAAATCATGTGCCCCAACTCCTGAACCATTTTTGTTGCCCTCCACTGGACCATCTTCAATTTGTCCACATCCTTTCTGTAGTGGGGGGCCCAAAGCTGAACACAGTACTCCAGATGTGACCTCACCAGTGCTGAATAGAGGGAAATAATCACTCCCCCTGATCTGCTGGCAACATTCCTACCAGTGGAGCCTAGTATGCTGTTAGCCTTCTTGGCAACAAGGGCACACTGCTGGCTCATATCCAGCTTATTGTCCACCGTCACCCCCAGGTCCTTTTCTGCAGAGATGCTGCCCAGCCAGTCAGTCCCCAGTATATTCTGGTGCAGGAGATTGTTCCATCCTCAGTGCAGGACTTTGTACTTGTCCTTGTTGAATCTCATGAGGTGCCTTTTGGCCCAATCCTCCAATTTGTCTAGGTCACTCTGAACCTTGACCTCCAGCGTATCTACTACTCCCCCCACCTTAGTGTCATCTGCAAACTTGCTGAGGGTGTACTCCATCCCATCTTTCAGATCACTGATGAAGACATTGAACTAACCAAGCCCCCAGGACTGACCCCTGGGACACTCTACTTGATACCAGCTGCCAACTAGACATTGAGCCATTGATTACTACCCTCTGAGCCCAATGCTCCAGCCAGTTTTCTATCCACCTTTCAGTCCATACTTCCAGTTTGGTAGCTCGGTGATGCCCACAGAAGGAGGTTCTTGATCCCAGCAGAGGCATAACTATAAATTTTGGTGCCCAGGACAAAACTTTGGGGGCGGGAGGAGAGGGCAAAAACTCCTTTATCACCTCTGGAACAGCCTTGTGCTCCCCTCTCCATCCTCCTCTACCCACCTGTAGGAGCCAAGCTAGAGAAGCCCCATGCTACTCGGCTCCAGGAGGGTGCAGGACTGCTCTGGATATGGCAAAGACTGGTGGTGAGTGGGCATCATTCTGGGTACCCTTCTCTGTCAGTGCCCAGGACTGGTGCCCCTCTTGCACCCCTTAGTTACATTCATGGGTCCCAGTACAGGTGGGAGGGAAGATGCTCTTGCTCCAAAGGCCATGCACTTGTCTGTTAATTGATCCATTAAATTCACCAATTGTCCGTTAATATCTTTTTAAAGAGGAGTCTGATTATACATCAGAAGTCAGTGTCAATCCATTTCACCTGCTGCTAGCTTTGCTACTCTGTTCTCTATTTTAAAGTTCTTTCTTCCTCTACATCGGTGGTTCCTAACCTTGTTAGGTTCAAGGCACCTCTCATGACAGCTCTTAGTTTTCATTCATTTTTTGACTGCATAAAAATAATAGAGCAGTTCTTCTGTTGCAGGGAACTTGGGAAGACCACAACAGGATACAGTGTTTTTAACACTAGGGATTCTCATTTCACATTTCTGGGTTTATCTTATAGGAGGAGATAGCTGTTTAGCCTGAAGTCAGCCAGAAGGCAGGGCATATATGCACCTTTTTATAGGGCTTTCATAAACCCATCTGATGAAGTGAACTTGGGTTCATGAAAGCTTGTGCGTTCGGTCTCTGTCTCCTACTAGAGAGAGAGGGGCATTGAGGCACTGAATGTCTGGACTTGGTCTGGCCTCTGGATTCTGTCTCAAAAGGGGTTTAAAGTGGGGGGATGGTAGATTTTAGGGCAGCCTCCAGTCCTCCATACACTTGTCTAGGCCTATGCATCAAAGCCCTTGCTGTGATGGTCACAGGACTCCGTAAAGGGCATAAGAAACCTGAGGCGGTTACCCAAATGTCCAGGCAGCCCTTCTTAGGAGTGGCCTGCTTGCCTCCCTTGAGAGAGGCACTAGAAAAAATCCATGGCCCAGAGAGAGAGAGACTGGGTTGGGGCATGGATTTATTTGGAGGCACCCCAGGGTGCCCTGGCACCCTACATGAGAATCACTGTTCCATATGGTCTGTTTTCTCCTCCTCCCCTTGTTGTCTTGCGTATGCTGTGACCAAAACCTTCTCAACTGCATTTCAGTCGAGAATTTCTAAGTACACTGCAAACGTTAACTCAGCCATGCAGCACCCCTACTCAGAAGATGCTATATAGATGGGCAGACTGAAATGCAGAAGGTTAAGGGATTTTTTTCATGTCACCCAGCAACAGGTATCTTATTCTCAGTCTTTTGCTTTCACCAACTGACTACCCAACCTCACTTGCAGCCCCCCAAAGTATAAGGCAGATGCTCCATAAACACATGTCTGAACATAAAGCCTTCACTGTAGGATCAGGCACAAGGAAAATTTTCTCCCCTTCTGTGATAGCAAAAACTCATTAAAACCCAAACTTTTTCAATACAAGTAAAGGGAATAGATAGAACCAGGAACCCACTAAATTAGTTCTGTTGTAAGCTTTAAAACATTTCAGGGCTTGCTTTTGTTAAGGCCCTCTCTTTAAAAACCAAAAGGTCCATGTGTCTGATCAAGAGGATAAGCCTCTCTTATTAGCATCCCTACTGCATTATAGCTTGAGGGAACAGAAAGTGCAGGAACATGATTTCCAGAGCATGGCTAGTTATCATCTTTATATAGTTATCATTATTTATGGCTAACCACCGTGCTCGTTCCATCGTGCTATAAAACATGGTTTGTCCGGTCTATGCTGCAAGATGAAACCATGTTCCTGACCTCTGCTCCATCAGTATTACCCAACAGCTTTGAACTTTGTTTCAAGAACACAGGTAAAGCACAGCTTCGTTCAGTCTCTGCTGCAAGATCAAAGTGTGTGGCGTGTTTCTTTCGGTCTTTTTTTACCACCTCATGTCCTTTCAGTGTTGTAACTGATTCTCTCAATGTGGTGGTTGCTGTGTTATGGACTGGTCCTTGCTCTGATGTTTAACTGTTGGAGTGCAAGAACCTTTGTAGGAAAGTGGGGTTTTTTAGAGGGTTGTTTTTTTTTTTTATTTGTTCTTATGATTAAACTTTTGCATTTCCTTTGTGCTTTATTTAAAAATAAATAAAACCTTGACAGAGTAGAGGAATAAGTGAAAGGCAGTACACTGCCTGTCCTTGCCAGAAATTATTACACATCTTTCTTTCCTTTTTTTTCTGGCAGAGAGTGAGAGACTGGATGAATATCTCTCTCTCTCTCTCTCTCTCTCTCTCTCTCTCTCTCTCTCTCTCTCTCTCTCTCTCTCTCTCTCTCTCTCTCTCTCTCCCTCTCTCCCTCTCTCCCTCTCTCTCTCTCTCTCTCTCTCTCTCTCTCTCTCATTCCTGAAACTAGAGTAGTCAATCACACTCATTAGCAGCTCAGAGACTGACCCCTGTCTCTCTTCCCTTGTGTATATCTGAGATTTAGGCATAGCCTAGTCCAGGCAGAGAGAGCACTACTTGATGGGACATTCTTATAACTGCAGTGCATCTCCCTCTCCTTCCATGGCGCATGTTATTGAGCCTTCTCCAAACTGGTTGGGGCTGGACAGGCTGGTATGGCTATAGCACCTCGATCCTGTTTATATCACATCCATGTTTTAGAATATGGTTTGTCCTGCTTAGATGGGACCCATGTGTTACCATCAGGCAAAAAGCATGCTGCTACTTTTACAAGCGCCTGTGCAAAAACAACGCTTATACTCTGCACATCTGCTCTTTGGCTCTATGCTAACTTCAGGGACCAGAATATGCTGTCAACGGAGGGGTTTTTTTAATTGTTGTTTTACTCCTCGTAGCTCTGCAGTGGCAACTCCTACAGTAGCCTGAGCCAGAATCTGTTTCTTCTTGTCAGTTTATTATTTTCCTCAGCTCCCATCAGTAGCACCTGGGCAGCCCCACTGAAAGCAAAAATTGCCAAGATGTCACTGACCTTGCCTGGACTGGAATAAAAGCTGTATTAATACATCAATTAATACATGTGCAAATCAATTAATGCATTTGCAGAGCCTATTCTAGGCAAGTTCTTAACATGAGCTCAGCTGACTGGGCGTCAGTCCAGACTTTGACTTGACCAGTTCATCATGTGTTATAACGTATGTGGCAATGGCATGCAAGAGCGTTCAAATAAAGATCTTGCAGGGGCAGGTTACTTGTGCCTGAGATCAGAAGATCTACAGTGCAACTCCCTTTCTTTGCTGCTGCAGCAACATCTATTAATCATGTCCACAAAAAGAGAAGGCCGTCTGCACTTAATGTAAGAAGAGAAGAAGTCCGTTTTCTGCCTTTTTTGTCGTTCTAGAGGGCAGCAAAAGACAAGGGAACTGGGTTGTTTGGGTGAAATCCATGCTTATCCCCCTCCTTGATGATTGCTGTTATGTCAGTGCTCATGGGTTGCTCAGGTCTCCAATGCCAAAGTTGGTTATGTCTCAGCTCACAAAGGAGGCTGGTCATAAATGAAATCCTACCTCCGTTAAACTCAATATCAAAATTACCATTGTCTTATCTTGACCCATTTCACCCATGGTCTTGAGTTGTAGCTGACATCCCTTGGGCTAACTTGTTTTGATATGACCAAATATCTGTGATCTGCCAAATCTACATCAGCCCTGGAAGATGTTCTGCATGTATGTTTGTTTAAACCTTAAACTCATACATTGTGGAATATCTAACCGTGGTGTAAATGGAAATTTTTTTGTGTTACTCCCAGTTGGCTTCTTTCTCTTCTGGTTCCTTGTTACACCCTGGCTGAAATTAAGGTGTAAGCTGAGTTAGGTGGAAAATGGCATGAGGAGGAAACTAGCAAAATAGTCTTTCTCAGACCAACTAACTTTTAGTCCCCAAGCTCTGGAGTGTGATGCTCTTCATAGGAGTAGCATCTTCCTCTCTGAATTGGCCCCAAACTGAAGAAGGGTGTGAGAATTTGCGTGGCATAGGAAGCTAGGCCAGGGAAGCAGATGTGGAGGGGCTGCAGTGCTGCTGAAGGTGGGGTAGTTGAGGCCCCATGCACTGCTGCCACACTTCTCTCTACGCTCAACATGTAGAGGGCCCACATCTGTCATACTTTCCCCTCCTTAGAGGGAACAAGGGCCAGCGAGCTGAGAGTCATTCAAGGAACGTAAACTTTCCACCAGGCCCACAACTCCACTCTAGGAAGCAGAAGTTCCTTGGGACATAGAGATTATGCATTGGTCTTACCTAAAGCAAGCTAGTGCTAGGGCAGAATAGCATTGGCTGTTACTTGTGGGAGAATACACAATGTGGAAGGATGGGGTTCAAGATGGTGCCTGTTTCGTATTTTGTTTCAGTTTTACATTTAAAGGCCCATTTCTTTCCATTCATTGCAGTCCATGGTGGCCTTTCTAAAGGATCCAGAAGGAGCTCCTTTGTGGGAGGAGGATCCAGAAGCCAAAGATATTGTACATGTCGACAGTGAAAAGGTATTTTGAACATATAGACACAGGGCATTGGTGAATGTAACATTGTTAAGGAGCATCGATATAAGCCCCATTGTCTCCCTTCTACTGAGGAGGAAACTAGGGCAAGAGTTAAATGATTTGGCCAACTCAAAGTCCTGTTTGCTATGGAGCCGGATCTCCTCACTCCCTGTCTGAGCTGTACTCGGCACCCTGCTGCTGGGTATAGACCTTGCCTGGGATTTCTCCTTGCTTGGCATGGTGTTGCCATGTACCTATACACATTCAATTTAAATACACCCAAAGATCTGTCCCTGTCATGAGGAGCTTGGGGCACAACATAAATGACCTCTAAGATGCTTAATCAGGGCTTAGGTGCCTGAGTCCCAAAGATCCAAATCAGCTCTGCTCACTGAACATGCCACCACTTAGGTGCCTAGATGCATTAGTCTTCTCCATTTTGGCCCAGTACAGTCACTAGTTGTCTAGACTTGGGCTGCTGGACATGTTCAGAAGTCACCCTGAGTAGTTACGTATGTGATTTAGTCCCACCTAAGCTCTGTTGCAAGCTAAACTGGTCTGGGAGGTGTGCAACCTGTGCCTTAAGTCTTAACCCCTATGAAAGAGCTGAGAGTATGCATGCTGCTTGATACAAAATGATGGCAATGAGGTAGTGGTGGTGCCCACCTTTTACCCAGTAGCCTGGGTGACTGGCTGATCCCAGCCACCTCTGGGGAGGCACCTCTGTCTCCCAATTCACTGTGTAGAAGAAGCAGAAATACCTTGCCTCATTTACTAGATGCCCCTGAGGACAAGGCACCCACGTTTTAGGTGTTGTAGAAGGTAAGTGGTGGCACTTTGGAGATGGATTAGGATCTATCCTTTAGAGTGGGAGAGAGGAAATTTTATCTCCATTTCCAGGGTTGTCATTAAAGTACCGAGATGGCCATGCAGGATGTTTTTGGCAGAGGTAGGAACTGCTGACCCCAGTTTTCCTGTGTCTCAGCTCATCACTGTTGGCCCTTTTCTCTCAGTTCAGTGGAAAGTTTCATCCCACCTTTAAAAGGCCAGGGTCATTGTAGTGCTAACTGCGATTTCCTCTGTAATCATCATTTTGGTGTTTTGTATTATTTTCCAGTCTTATTTTCCAGTCTATTGATTTTTAAAATTTTAATTGATTGGTCTCTAGCTGGTATTTTGTAAAGAGCGTTTTCAATTTTCTACCTTTCGTTTTTGATATTGAGAACAGTTATTTTGACATTCAGTTTTTGTAGGAAGATTAATTTTTAATGTTCACCTTTTTTTACTCTATTATAAGCTCTCATGGGGTCGCATTCAATTTAAAAACTTCATCTAGTTTCCCTGCCATGGCAGCACTAGAAAAATCTATTCTTGTGGCCTCTCATGCCCCAGCTTTAGGTTTCATGGTGTGGAAACTAAACCTGTCCCAGTTTTTCAGTCTGACCTCCTCAAATCAGGGTGTAGGTATCTTTGAGAGGACTGGGGAAGAAAATGTGTCTAATTATAAAAACTTTGAAAGCTCTATGGACCAACAATTGTAAAGCTCCCACATCTTAGCACTGAAAATTTATCTCAACGTATTTAGGGAATATTTGAGCCCCATGATGATTTATATTAATCCCACTAAGCTGGAGCTGAGTGGAAAGAAGCGATTCAAGTTCTGGCTGTTTGCAAGATTTGTTTTTATTCCTTAACTAATTGAGTAAACAAGCAGGAGTGTCTTTGAATATTATTAACCTTTATTTTTTCAAGTTTAACACTGGTAAAAGTGACTGGATCCATTTAACAGGGGCTTTTCTGTCTGATTTGTCATTAGGAATTCAGAAGGCTTCTGAAGAAGGAAGACAAGCCTCTTCTGATGATGTTCTATGCTCCATGTGAGTGCTCTGGCACTTTTTTTATCACCGTCTCCTATGACTGATCATCCTTTACCTCTACCCTGAGCTGAGTAGTGTTCTCCTGACCGCCTCCTCAGTGACTTAAACATTCAGCTCCTTGAACTGACACACTGCCCTTATCATTTGTCTTCAGTGCTCCTTTGGGTTTCCTCCACTCCTGGCATCTACTCTCTCTCCTGGCCATCCATTTTTCTTGCCCTATTCTTTGCTCTAATCCTGTCTCTCTACCATCTTCTATAAGTGTCAGGTACTGTCTCATCAGGCCACTGGGTCATATCATTTGTACATGACTTGTTTTGTGCATGTCTGGTTTTCTCGTGTTCTCTCGGTCTATGCTAAGTGCATCAGACCAAACGTATGCAGTATTGTAGGCCCAGCACTCTGCCCCATACAATAATATAAATGTACAGGGTCTATACTTACTTTCTGTCATGGTCTCCAGATCTTATGATAAGTAGCAAATCTCCAAGGGAGACTACAGCTCTGAGTGCAGCCTTGTCTGATGTATGACAGAAGGGAGAACTCGTTGCTCATGCTGCACACCTGAGGCAGAGTGGTGTGCTGAGTAAACTTAACCCCCAGTCCCTCCCAGCAATTGGGAATGGGGTTTGGTGAGAGGAGGAAGTAGAAAAGAAAGCATATCAAAGTCATAACAAGTTAGAAAATGACAGCAATGTAACAGCCTGACATTGTGTTGCCAGAAGCTTTAGTTTGCTGCATGAGTACATGGTGCCTTCTGACTTCATTCTGCAAACTTTACGGTGTGTGAATATCAAATTGTTGCTATTAGGCGGTTTCTTCAGACTGTTCTTCAGACATAAAGCTCTTACGGTCGAGTACTATTGCACCAGAGCCATTGATCACTTGGAAAGCAGGCAGGCCACAGAAAGGGAACAGTTGCTCAACCATTGAATTTGCCTTGACAGTGGGATTGATGTTAGATGTCACCTGCAATTTGTGGTTATTGCTTTGTTAAAATGAGCCTCCCATGTCAGAACTCTGGCACCAAAGGATACTTATCTGTGGCTTCCTGGTTCATCATTATGTATAATTCTACCTTTAGTCTCACGTGAATATTGCTCAGCTGACCAGTACTGCCCATGACTTGACCTAATGGATCAGGAAGAGTGTGCTTTCCTTTTCATGCCATATACTACAGCACCTTCCTTTGAACTTTGCAGCTGCAGAAGAAAGCTCAGGTTCTACCTCTTATGTGGCTGTACCATTTTCTGATTTATAGTATGCATTGTAGTGGGCTGCTGCCTTGTTTCAGCATGAGATGATTTGCCTGTTCTGAGCTTGTAAATCACCCCTGGAGGGCCATTCCCAGTTCCCTGAATGCTTTCACTCTTTACCTCTGTTTGTAATCATTTTCCATAGGTCCTCTCCCAAGATGTACCTCATCTTTACGTTTCGTTCTCTTTGTGCCATTCCCCTAGCTGCTCTGGTTTTTCCCAGGCTTCCTTTCTCTGAAAAGCAAGGTACCTGCCAGCTTTCAGTACTTTTACTTTTGCTGCTTCTAGACTGCGTGAGGAAGCCTGCGTTTCTTTTTTTTACCCTTCTCTGATTTCTCACACCTTAATTTCCTCACTTTTTTTTTTTTTTTTAATACTAACTTCCTAACTTGATTTTTTTCCCCCACTTTTCTTTTAATTCTTCCCTCATTCCACTTACCCTGGGAAGACAAACCTCATTCAGGAATCACAGTACTGTGTTGGTTATTAGACTCCGAGGATATTGCCTGCTGTCTTGTGACAGGGCTAACCTCTTGTAGCTCTGACCTATGTCATGTAGCTGGGAGCAGGAAATCAAGATGAGCCTCTTGCCAGCACTCCTGTGTTTCACACTTATTAACCTGTGCTGGAAGAAAATGTAACCTCTGGCAAGAAATTAGACCAAAATCTCCGAGTCTCGGAAGGAACGATGAAGGCATTTGCAATGTGTCTAAGCTTTCTTGGAATTGGGTGCCACTGCAGAGAAATCAAAGATGGTGAAACTTTCCATTTGGCTATATTGTGGCAGCTTCATAAGGTATAGATAGAAGAACAAATTTATAAATAGGGGTAAGCTGCACTGGTTAAGCTTCCTATTGTGAGATAAGAGCAGACCCATCAAATAGTTGATGCAAAACCACCAATATGTGGCAAGTCTCCTACCATCCTTCACTTATGTAATTTCGCTGTATGTTCCAATAAGCTTTAGAGAGACTCGGTACATCCTGTGGGTGGGAAGATGAAGGTGACTGCCAACTGCCAGGCAGTCTCTTGCACTTTCAGGAAAACTGCAATCTGCATAAAAATATTACTTGGTGAGAAGATATGTTTTTCTGACAAATTAGCTGCCATATAAGACCATAGTCTGGTCTCCTGAACCTGTATAATGAAGCCAAGTTAGACCCAACTGAGCAGGTAGACTAGTTGGAGTCCAGATTTAGTCCTGTAACTACTGCTTGCAAGATTATTGCAGAAAGTGGGCTCCATCTTGCAGCATCCAATGTAAAATATTTGTAGTATAAAATATGGTTAGTTCTATTGCAAACTCAGCTTTTGAACTGGAACTATTAACAAGCAGCAAAAGAGCACAAGTGCATTTGATATAGAAAATGCACGAATAAAACATATGGCAGGGACCAGATTTGTTTGCAATGCATGTGGAGGAGCAATACAACACAAATATACACGTATGCCAGAGCTGCAGGGTCATGTGTGCAACCAAAGCAACCGCTTTGCAAAAGTTAGGTGTTCTTGGCACCACTTAAAAAACAAAAATAACACAACCCACACAGGAGAAAAAATATACTGTTAGAAGATGGATCTCATGATTCACAGAAGTTTAGGGCTGGAAGGGACCTCGTGAGATCATAGAATCATAGAAGTAGGGTCGGAAGGGACCTTGTAGATCTTCAAGTCCGACCCCCTGCCTGGGCAGGAGGAAAACTGGGCTTAAATGACCCCAGTCAGGTAGGTGTCAAGCCACTTCTTAAAGACCCCCAGGGTAGGAGCCAGCAGCACTTCCCTTGGAAGTTGGTTCCAGATCCTAGCCGCCCTGACTGTGAAGTAGTTCTTATGGATGTCTAATCTAAACCTACTCTCCAACAACTTGTGGCCGTTATTCCTTGTTATCCCGGGGGGCGCTAGGGGAATCAAGGTCTCCCCCAAACCCTTCTGGTCCCCCCTAGTGAGTTTATAGACAGTCACCAGGTCCCCCCTCAGCCTTCTCTTTGTAGGGTCTGCCTTGCTGTCCCTGGATCATGCGGGTGGCCCTCCTCTGGACCCTCTCAATGTTGTCCACATCCCTCTTGAAGTGGGGTGCCCAGAACTGGATGCAGTACTCCAGCTGTGGCCTGACCAGTGTCGCATAGAGGGGGAGGATCACCTCCTTGGCCCTACTTGAGATGCACCTGTGGATGCACGATAAGGTCCGGTTAGCCCTGCTGACCGTGACCTCGCATTGTCAGCCCATGTTCACCTTGGAGTCATTGATGATCATCGGGTCCAAACCCCCTCTGGGCAGGAATGTCTGCAGGGGTCAAATGATGATGAAAATAATGATGATGATAATGGATATCATTATTGTCAAATACTGGTGATGAAGATGGAGTAAAGTGCCTAGGTCTCTCGTGAGGTAGTTGCAGCCATTGCTTTTACAAAAGACTAGTGCCTACTCAGCTATGTTTTACATGGCCAGCACAAATGTGAACACCTGAGATGAGGCCAAAATGTTTGATCTGTAGAAGGACACCTACCCCGCATTGAAGTTTTCAATCAATGTAACACCATTGGTGAGAGCAATTTTGTAGTCAATGTAGGGTGGATCCACACAAGGCAACAGTGAGAATGAGTTCAGAGCTCGAGGGAGAGAGGACAGTAGGTTAGGTGATGTTTTTTGAAGGCACGCCTTTATTTTCTAAAGGGAATCTAGAAGAGTGCAACTTTTTAAAAAGGGGAAGGGTGGGAAGAGGGAGGATCGTAGCCAGTTGGAAACTCATGATGAGTTGGTGGGATGAGAAGTAGAAAGCAAAGGCACCCTTGCTGCTGATGTGGTAGTGAACATGAAGGCAACAGACTGAAGTGTCCAGGAGCTGAAACCAGCTGTTGAGTGGACTGCATCAGATTAGTTTAGTTTATATTGGTTCAGGCTTTGGTGAAATGGATGGTTGTGCCGTGTACGTTGTGAAATCACCTTCATTTGAACTGGCACCAATCCTCTGTGTTGTTGACAATCTCAGAGGGCAGGGATAGGATGGTCATGGGACCTGGAGTCCTTCTCTCTTGTAAAAAGGTATTTCTCCAAGCTGGAGCAGACGCTCATTGGTGAGGCCGACCAGAATCCTTGTTGCCAAAATTTCCAGGCAACAGTTGCAGATATTTGTCATGTAGCCTACGGCATTACTGATCGTTGTTTTCCTGCTGTGCCATTGCCTGTAAAATAAATCTGACTATCATCACTATGGTCCCAGGAGTAGTTCAGAGACATCTCTTCTTTGATGCATAACAACTTAGTCACCGCCCTGCCCCCATATCTCGCTTTACTTGGCAGCAGTAAAACCCTCTGGTTTACAAGGCGATTTATTTTCTAATCTACTTAGCCTCCTACAGCACATTCCAGCCACATGTCTTCACTCTCTTTTCCCTGGCAAATCTGCCTTGTCTTTTGCCCAGCATTTGGGGTTTCCATGTGTTACTAGAGGCTCTTCTTTGAACTGACCTCTTCCCTAGGCAATCAGGATAGCATTAGTGGTCTTCCAGTGTCTTTTTAATATGTTCAGGAGAGGTGCCTCCAATTCAATTCCTGACGTTTGCTAAAACTCCAGTTAAATCTGAAGAGGACTCATTTTAACATGCAAAAGACTGGTTTCTGATTTGTTTGTGCACTGGAGCCCAAGTTTGGAGCTTGGAGTTTGGCAAGTGAAGGCCTTTCCCTTGATGTAGGAGAAAGGTTCATGCATTTTGAGCGTTCCAGGGGAGTACTGATTGCTTGGAGCAGGGGTAGGCAGCTCCTGGCATGGGTGCAAGAGCATGGCATGCAAAGGTGTTTGGCTGGGCATGCACACCTCGGGCAGACGGCAGGGGAGTTACTGGGACTGCTGCCACAACAAGGAATGGGCCCCTTGCTGCTCTCCCGCCATCCACCCCTGGCACACCAAGATCTTACAAGTCAAGGTTGTGGGTGTTTTTGGCACCCTACCCAAAAAACGTTGCTGACCCCTGGTGTAGAGGATCAGGCTCTTTGGCTGCCTATACATGTGCTTGGGGGGAGGCATTTTAATTGGAGTGGTTCCCAGAGAGTCATTCCAATTAAAACAGCTCACCGTCGCATGTATTATTAAGCCCCACCACATTTCAAAATGGTCATGGGACACTAACTAAAGCTAATTTGACGAGCTTTAGTTAAAGCGCCCACAGCCATTTTGAAACGTGGGGTGGGGCTTAATCTACGTGACGCCCGAGGCAATGCCAGAGCGCTCTAATTAGAATGAGAAGCCTCGGTTAATTGAATCTGCTTGTTCTCAGTCTAATTAGAATGTGAATGAGTACGTCTCTGGGCAGTCTTTAATTTTAACCTTCCTGTCTAGCTCTGCTAAAGAGAGGCTGTGAGCAGGGCTTACTTCCAGCACTGGGAGTGTATTTGTTAAGTGGAAGTGGAGAGATGTGTTTTAATAAAGGCTGAGCAGAGCTGTTCTGATCATTTTATTTGTGGGGAAGTGGTGGTTGGGAATGCTGTTTCAAATGTTAAGCATTTCAATGAACGTTAGCCCAAAAACCTGAAACTACTTCTAGTTCATCATGCTACCTCTCATCATGCTGCTACTTCTAGAATTAGGACCTGAAAGATGAATTTGACTAATATGGATAAATGCACACTTTTCAAAAAGGAAAATTAAGATGGATCTACTGTACATCTGGATTTTTGTTTACAAATGTGACCTTTTTTTACCTTAGCTTTTTGGCTATGCTAACACTTGGAAAGTAGTTTCAAAAAGCATTTTTCCTTATCTTTTACTGTCTGACATGCCACATTTCATCTGGGAGAGTAGTCTGAAGGTTGGCATTGCTGAAATGTTCACCATCTTCATTTTCTTTTTGCCCAGGGTGCGGCGTGTGTAAGAGAATGATGCCAGCTTACCAACAGGCAGCCACAGACCTGAAGGGTAAATATGTAAGTGAGAAGATGGCACGAGGCATAAGTTAAATTCATTTGTTTTATCTTTTTTGAGGATGTAATGCTGTAGAGATTAGTCAAATAGGGAATTTCAACTGATACTAGGTAGAAGGAGAAATATTTGAAGCCAACTCCAGCAAAAAAAGGACCATCTCCACTCCTTTTATTTGATTCTAGTAATGTATTTTCTCTCATAAGACAAGCCCTGGGGTAAAATATAGACTTCGTTTTTTGAAAAGCAGAATGAAAAATAAAAGATCTTTCCTTTATAGTAAGTAACTGAGTAGCAGCAGCTAGGGAGGGAGCTGAATCATGTTAGTTCCCTGAAGATTTTACTTTCACTTCAACTTGGTAAGGCAGAGCTGCTCTTACCATATTTCTCGCATGTAATGCCCACTACAATTTCCAGAAGCTGTTTTTTGGAGGCAAAGTGGTTGTTTCATTCAAGAAAATATAATATTTTGGAGTCTGAAGGGTAGACACACTACCTGAATCCAAAGTGGCTTTCTCCAGAACAGGCTGTGTATCTGATTCTGCAAATGCTTATAAATATAAGCTCTGAGCATTTAAGTAATCCCATGAGCAGAGGAAGGGTTTTGCAAAATTGGGATCTAACACTTTTATTTAACCTGGAAACCTATCTGAGAGTGTGGCCAAAGGTGTGTCTCTGAAGCATTCATTTAAATTTTTACCATTTACCTAGTTTTATACACTGTGCTTGGAGGAGAAAATGGAATTTGTCTCTACCTCAGTAAGGAGGCTGATTCTTAACTGGAAAGCACAGGAACTGATAGAGCTTTTTGTTTTATCTTGGCTGTTTTAATATTCCAAACAATGTCTAATGAAGTTTTAGATAAGTTTAAAGAGCTTTTAAATAAGTTTAATAAGCAAATTTCATGGAATAATCATGTGTTGTGTGTGCAAGACATAGCACTGATACTCTTCAAATAAGACATGGGCACCCCCTGGTTCAAGACTTTAAATATGTATTTTTATAAATAAATTCAGAGGGCATTTAAGGCGAAAGGAAAGCCAGTGCTGGAGACTTGGGCATGTTGTAGTTTAAGCAGTGTTTGCTTTCAGCCTGACTGCTTACCATTCACTTTGTCACAGTTTGCTGGCTTTACTCAAGAGAGGCTGTGTGTGGCAAAGCAAATGATGAAGACTGAGGTTCACTGGCAGGGCATTCCAGTCACTACATCTCAAGAGCATTAGAAATCCTCAGGATCTCACATGCCCAAAAACAGCTGTTAAACTCGGTAAAAGTTTGTTTGCCTAGGGCTAATTCAAAGGGAACTTGCATTTATTTAGAGAACAGTATGGCTCTTTAAATATCTTTAAGAGCATTCTGGTCAGATGAAACATCATTAAAATCCCACCTGTCCTGTCATTGGAATTTACACTAAGTTCCTCTTCAAGATGTTCCTATCTCGGGACTGGTGAGTTTTAAGGCTCTGTGACTATAAATTTACAGGAATTGGAAGCATCAAGAGAGCTAGACATCTTGCACTGTGCAGAATACACTCTATTTTCCTGTAACTTTCCTTTTGTCTTGGCTGCAAACAATCTTCTTTTTCTTTTTCCAAGGAGTTGTGACTTAGGCTGGAGAAGTTATTGTTGTGCCTTTCTGCCAGGTTTGATCGTTTCCTTCCATATTTTAACCCGGTGAGATATGAATGCTGGGGTCCTTGTCCTACCTTGAGCTTTGAAGCATAGGCCTGTACTTGTGCAAATTGTTGCTAAGGTCATTGGGGCTGCACCTTAGGGGGGGGTGCTGTTTCCCCACAAGCTTAATCCTTTTGGTCTAAATCCAAGTCCAGCTCTCCATGGATTAATGCTTCTCTACTAACCAACTCTTTTTCCATCTGTACACTTCACTGTGTCTAAAGCAAAGTAAGTTCTTTATTATACTGCACTATTTCCCAGCGAGGTTCTTTAAAGTAGTAATGATCTCCAAATCAGAGATTTCCACATAGTTTATGACTGGCGTGGATGAGCTGAGGGTTTGGCCTTTTTAACCCAAGCAGTCATTACCTGCCAGGAAATGCCAGGCTTGGAGGTCATTATTCCTATTATAAAGTTAGAAAATAAAATAAAGTAACTGCCTCTTTAATAGGTTGTAAAAATGAAAAGGTGAACCGTACCTGACATTGGTTACTGTATTCTGCCGTTGGGACTGGTCTTTTCCTGTTAGTGCTATAACCAAGAAGAAAGCTGGATGACATTTTCAGTGTTACATTGGGTTTACACTTTGCATTAAATCTCAAACCAGCTCACGGTGAAGTAACCTTAGAGATGGAAGCTTCCAGCTGTCCTACCAGTGGGGTTAATTTCTGCTAATAACCTTGAATTCCTGTAACTGGTGCACTCTGGTCTCAATTCGGGAAAGTATCCCTAGTCAGCAAAGGACTTAAGCATATACTTAAGTCTCATTTGACTTCACAAGGTGGGTTAAGTGCTCTGTTGAATAAGCATGAGCCAAAATCCGTCCTTTCTTGAATTGGGGTTGTCTTCCTTCAGAACAAGCAAAATGTACATGCCATGCAGTCCTAATATTTCAGCTCTGTCGGGTAAAAGGAAGGAATTGTTTAATTTTAGTTTGTTTTTTAGTTGGGGTATAACACACATTGAAATTCTGAGTCTGTTGAAATGTGTTTATTATACTCTGCATGTTGTGTGCAGATTTAGACGTAGATAGGAAACATTTAGATGTAGGTAGGAAACAATTTTGGAGTACCTGTTTTAAAATGAGCTTGTTGTTATAAGAAAATAGTTGCATATGTTACATTTGAAAAATGTCTTTCTGATGACAACAAAGACGGGGAAAAATGTCCTCATTCATTCTGATGACTGATACTAATAAGTCACTGGAGGGGAAATCATGTGTTAGTTATTCTGAGAGACCGTTCTTAGAGACCCCTGTTGGCAAACTGTTTGTGTGCTATTTAATTGCATGAAATCAGCAAATATCAAAAAAGTCTTTTAAAATAGTGCGCAACACTGCCTGGAAGCCTTGATTTCACGTGTCTCTTGGAGTTCTCAAATCATGTGTTAAACCAAAATTAGGGTAATTTCTTATCTCCATTGAAGCCTCTGAGGCATATAGGCTGCGTTCACTTAGGGTGACTGCAGCTGGACTCTCAACTTTTGTACATCATTATGGCCTAATTGAAATCAGTAGCACTGTGAAAGTTCACACCAGCTGAGCATCTGGAACACCCTGGAACACCTTTTATGGACTCCTGGGGTCCTCTGAACTCCAAGCATGTGAGAGTTTAGTAATTTAACATGCAAGAGAAAATCTAATAAGCCACATTCTCCATCCCCTTTTGACCCTTCTGTAGCCATTTGCACCAAGCAAAGTTACTACTGTGACTCGATACCACTTTTTTTTTTAACCCACTGTCACCTCCTGTTATTGACAACATAACAGTCAGTGTTGGAGAATCAGGCCCAGTACTTTTCATGAATGGTTGGTTTCCTTTGAATAATCAAGAAGTAAAATCAGCAGAGCTAATAAAGACATATTCTTTACTCTGCGCCTTTCAGTGCTTCAGGTGTCCTTCCCAGGGCAAGGGAGGAGACACCAAAACGTCATCTTTTGTGACTCTCTCCTATATGTCCTGAGGAGAGACTGACCTCACGAGGAGTCTATATGGGTTTTTTTGGTCTGTGCAGTTTGCTGCCATTAGGAAACTAGTATTAAATTCTGATGTGGTATTTCAGTTGGAAAAAGAAAACCCTGGTTTCAGAGGGGAGGAAGAGGGTTTGGATTATGGCCATGCTGCTAAAATGATTTAAAATATCAATGTCTTCTATCTGGAGTTAATCTTGAAGTTGTATCTCCACAGCTGGCCAGCTAGAATTCTGTATATCCAAGGCCTACAGAAACATTTAAGAAAGTTTCATCCTCAAATCTCCACTGTTTGAAAGTATTTCAGCTACCCATCATCTTACCTATAGGGAAACAGGATTGGGAACTCCTGTGTCTTAATGCTTAATTTTGGTTGCTAACCTGCCAGTCTCACTGAGTATAAATAGATGTCTCCTTTGTGTTGCTATAACAGTTCTTACTCATTCACTCATATACAGATGTGTGTACCATTTGTCACACCACAGGTGCCTCAGTTCATGGCCCCTGACAGAAGGCAGCAATAGTTTCTGCTGCTTCCTTGTGGCAGTTGTCTGCTAGATTTATGGCATGAGAGTGCAAGCATCCTGGAACTGCCTGCACTCTCCAGCATCCCCAGGCAGGTGCTCTTGATGGCTTGAGGGACCTGATCCTATGCACCTGCTCAAGATCAAGCCCCAGGAGCCCCTGCCCAGCTTTCTTCACTCAGGTTAGAAACAGATGTGGCCTGACATCCATTTGTGTCCCCCATAAAAATGTTTATGGGGTACAAATGGTGAGCAAATAGACGTCCTTACCCTTTGTTGTGCCACATGAGAGACAAATTAGTGGTGCAACAGAAGGTAGTAATAAATTCTGCTGCTTTATTGTGGTGGATGTCTGTTGGCGCTCTGCTTAGAGAGAGGTGCACTGGAGGAATCTCAAGCCATCTCTCTACAAGTGGGGGGAAGACAGGATTCCCCACTTAAACCCACCTCGGGTTCTTGGGGGCATGTCTTCGTAAGTAGGACGCAGGTCCTAGCTTGGAGGCAAAGGACCTGGGGAATCCCTGGTGCCATGTGCTTCCAGACTGGGACCCACTCACCCAGACCTGCCACTGGGGTCGCATCTAGGTAAGTGGGAAAAGCTGGGCAGGTGCCTTCAAGGCTTGAGGAGTCTGATCCTGCCTGGGAAATCCTGAGGTGAGCAGGACCGGGCCCCACGAGAACATATCGCCCCTTGCCCCGCACCTTCAGTGGGCAGGACGAGGGATGATGTGTTTCACCCAATGAGGCAGATCAGTTGTGTCATGACACATCATGGCATGGCAGACCCGCTGCATTCAGCCGTGTCTATTTCTAGCCTAAGGTCCTGGAGACCAATGGGCAAGGCACCGGATAACATGTTTCATCCAGTGAACTGGAGCAGAGATGATGGGACACAACCCAGTAAAGCTGATCTGCTTCATTTGGTGATGTCTGTTTATGCCCACTGAGACCTAGTCACTGCACCCTCTTGCTGGTTTCACTTTTCATAAGACGGGGACAAAAGCTTGCCTGCCTTGCGAGACCATATAGTTCCTGTCCCTGAAGTGTATGAGTAGCATGTATTATTTCCCCCAGTTATCAAAAGGCTATAAAATGTATAATAAAAAGTGACGGGGAAAATGATTGTTTTGAATGATCTTGTTTACTTCGTTCAGAGCCCAAACCTGCTCTTAGAAGCCTCTAAAGAGGTGTTGTTTCCTGTTGCCTAAATGAGCATAAGCCTTGCTTTCAAACTGCAGTAATGGTTTTGTGTTGTTTTGCCCTCTAATAATTGCCTGTTTAAGCTGCTTCTCAGTCAGATCTTAAGCTTGCTGCCCTGGTAGAAGCTGAAGAGGTGGGGACAGAGTGGCTTGTGTTCCAGCTAACGTCCCTATGCTTTGTAAGCTGTGATACTTGAACTGAAAAATATAGTCAGGCCTGCCGCTTGAAATATCAATACCCAGCGAGAGCAATAGTAATGCTCCCGAATGAGTCCCCTTTGGGTGCTTCAGATTTTAGAGAGTGCATATAAATATGGGAAGATTCTTGTCCAGAAAACAGGAAAAAGTGATGAGCTACTTAAAGGCTGCTTTTACACACTATATGTAATAGGCCAGAGAGACTGTGCTAGGATGAATAGCAGGATGGCAAAGAAGCATGCGGCTCTGTTTTCTTGTTTCAGGTACTTGCGGGAATGAATGTTTACTCTGCTGAATTTGAAAGGATAAAGGAAGAATACGGTGTCCGGGGATACCCTACCATCTGCTATTTTGAGTCAGTCTTGCTTATTTCTTCGTTAGAATTAATACACTAAATTGTAATTTCTTGTTCCTCCTTATCATCCAGGGCAGGGGCTAAAACTTGTTTTGTTGCATTAATAGGAAAGGAAAGTTCCTCTTCCACTATGAGAACTATGGTGCTACAGCAAAGGATATAGCAGAGTGGCTGAAAAGGTAAGGCATTGTACTTTATGAACTATACCTTTTATGTACTATACTTGCTGTAAACAGCAGATCAGTCTAGGGACAGCACCTCTTCCTTCTCCGCCCCTACCCTCCCTCCCCGAACAAATAAACCTTGACTAACCTGTTACAGCTGAACTTAGCTCTAATGTTTGTTTTCATCATGCCTGCCACCTTAACATTTGTATTATGGGCCTAATATAAGACTATCTCTGACCAGTAGGTTGTGAACAGAAGCATCTGCTGTTCTTTGGGCCCCAACTCCATTAAAACGTGGACCTAAATTTTCAGGTGTCTGTTTGTGGGTAATTGACAGGAAACACTTTGAAACACAAGACAGTATAATGTGTTTCAGCACTTTAAATCAGCAGGAGCTGTTAAAGTGTGTTGAATTACCATATTTCTTCAATCCAAGGTGAGGGGGTTTTTTCCCCCCCACATTTAACATGAGATGGGGAAGCCCTTTGTCTGGAATTTGAGTACAAGGTGTACTCATGTACTCTGGAATTTGAGTACAACTTGGACTCGGGTTAGGAGCTGCAGCCGCTGTCCCGCTGCCACCTTTATTTCTACCCCGCCCTGCAGCTCCAGTTGGGAGTACAGAGCTCCAGCTCTGGCCCTGGCCTTGGGGCAAGAGCTGCCATTGTCACAATCACTGCTGTCTGTCTGGGCAGAAACTAGAGCTGGAGCTGTGACCAAAGGTAAGCAGTGGTGGAGATGGGAGCTAAGTATGAGGGAGGCAGAAGCATTGGTGGGAAGGAAGGAACAGGAGGCAAGGTGTGGGGGTGTGCAAGCAAACTGAGGGTGGGGGGAGACAGGTGGCAGTGGGCAAGGTATGCGGGGGACAAGGGTTAGGGGTCAGGCTGCTTTCCCCTCTGCTGCTGCTTTTCACGCTGCAGCTGTGGGAGGAATGAATTTAAGGTGACCCTCTGATAATTTGATTCTATACATGGAAAATTATAACAGATTTATAAATTTCCTATATATAGAATCTAATTATTGGGGCTGGGGATTGTCTGAAAGTTGAAGTCATCTTGTATTGGGGAAAATATGGTAGTCATGAAAAATCAAAGCAGCCAAAATCCTAACTCAAAAAAAAAAAAAATATTCCATAAGTGCCTCTGATGGTACCAGGCTTGGTGCGATGGACTCTACCTGGAGGTAGTTATTTGTCATGGCAAATATTTTGGGGGTTGCAGGAATTTATGGGAATCGCAGTGGAGTTGCTATAAATGTTTGCTGAAACACTTTTTTGATTAGATGTTCAGTGGGGCAAATCAACGTGGCTTCCTCAAAGACGGTGGAAGTACTTGTACAATGCATGAGAATCTCTGTAGAATATATACCAGTTCACGGCAGCCATGTTTCCCTTCCACTCCCCCAACTTTATTTTTCCCCTGCCCATCTCGATTAATAGCTTAGAGAACCTAGCCTCCTCCTTTTTCCCTTTGCTGTCTCTCGTCCCCTCTTTCCTGCTGTTGAAGTGCAGAGGAACTGGTATGAGGCATAGCAGTTTGCCTGGACTTGCAGACATTTCACCCTGCTGAGACCCAGGTGTGCAGCCTAGGCATTGCTCTGTGATATCAACAGGAGACTTGCATGCACAGGGGGGACAAAATGCTGAAGCTGAGTAATATGGTGTGGATCAAAGAGGAGAAATTTGGCCGTAGTCTTTAAGCCTCTTTCAGCCCATTAAGCCTTCAGACATGAATGAGCAAGAAAGCAGCTCTGGAGACGACACTGAGATGATCGCTCCCTTGGAGCAAGGATATATGACTTCATCACCTGGACCTTTTTATGCTTTTCAGCTCTGCAAGGATGTGGTTATCTCCTGGCTACCACATGTGAGACATTAGATGTTTGCAGGGGTGGGGGGGGTTCAGTCTGCCCACATAATATCCAGATAATCCCTGTAATATGCAGTGCTTTTATATCAGTGCTGCGACAGCTAGTGAACACAGCTACTGGAGGCAGAGCAGAACAGCTGCAAGCTCTTTCCAATGATAATCTCTGCTAACAAGCCACGGTGGGCTTTGGCTGATATTTCAGCAGGCCAGAGATAAAGACAGCTGTTTGTCCTCACTTAGTTTTCAGTACACGCTTAATAGTTTCCCAAAAGACAATCTCAGCAGTTGCTTTTTTGCCCCTTTTTGTATCTTTTTAAAGAAATCACTTTCAGGAATTGTGCATACTTAATATCTCTGGTAATTGATGTTACAATTAATACTGTATACAGGATAAATCTAGTACATGCATAATATTGTATCACTTAGAGGGATGTTTAGTACAGGCAATGAAATGCTGTGGCAAGGTTTTGAGAGCCTAAAATTGTAATTAAATAGCTACAGGACAAATGCATATGCTGTAAATTTTAAGTATCCTTTAATTCAAGTCCTTGCCAAATAACTCATCCTTGGACTATGTACTGATAACTATTTTTATCTAATAACTGATAATTTTTTTTTGGCAGTATTTGTTTTGGGCTATTTCTCTTTATCTCTATCGCATGTAGAAATTGGTTCCCTTTTTAAAACAAAAAAAATAGGGGGAAAGCTGCTGAGTGTGCTTGGCAGAACTTGGATCCAGTATCCTATCTCTAAACTTCGGGAGGGCTTGCCTCTGGGTTCAGATTTCTCAGCTTGGGTTGTCTTGAGTGTGAGAGGAACTGGAGGGCAGAGAGAGGCCACTGAGAACTCAGCATCATGCTCTGCTTTCCTGTAGAGCATCATGATCTGATGAGTAGGCCGGCCAACAACACTGAACAGCAGGGATTTGTCACTGCAGGGATGTCTGTTGTGGTAGGTGATAGGACACACCTCTGCGACGTGTGTTTACATACATGAATGTGTACATACTTGTGCCCATATGCACTGCGTGTACATGTAGAGCGTATGCATGTTGGGAAACTAGTGGAGACCTTTTGAGATTGAAAGATTCTGAAATTTGCACTAGGTAAATGGCTCCCACAAAGCAACAACCTTGTTTTTCACCTTCCTCCTTCCCTGTACATTGGCTTTCAGTATTTGGTCAGTCAATCACTCTAACCCTGAACAGCATGGGATTGGGGACGATTTTACATGAGGGAAAGTGATCGAGTCAGCCAGGCTTATGCCTGTCCTGGTCTCTTTCTTCCGGGAAGGGTTTAATCCTGAGGACCCCAGCATCTCTCACTACTTAGTCAAGGTTGTTCTTTCTTACACTGGAGGTTTCTAATGCATCAATCTGTAGATACTTGGCCTCTCTTATCTTGCTAATAGACACAGAGAGAGATCTGGCTGCTATCTTGCTAAGGTTTAAGGGCAGTTTTATGAGGCTACCAAAGGAGACAATTGTACTACAGCGCACTCCTTAGCTACTGTCTTGGGTACTCTCTTGTACTAGAGCTTTTTCCTTTGCACTAAAGTCTTAATTTCTACCTTTTTTAGCTCCATCAATCTAGATGGTTCGCCAGACATCTGCAAACTGCCTTAGTGGATACTTAGCTTATCTCTTAGCTGCCTTTTTTGACCTCCTGTTGGGCTCTACCTTACTGCTCAGCTGTTCAATTAAAGCACTCCACTTGCTGTCGTTTGTTAGTTTAATTAGCTCTTGATTACTCTCCCAGACTTCTCTGTCATTCCCTGTCTGTCTTTGGGCATGAGGTTTTCAATGCTCATAGTGCTTAAATAGCGTTTCAGATTTTTCTTGCTGTGTCTGTCTAGCATCAAGATGTCTCCTTTGCTCCTATCTAGCCATGCACCCACAGAGTCATGATTAAGCAAGATGCTTGTATAGACTGCCTTTTCTTCTGTGTATTACTTAGGTACCAAAATAGATGATTTGGGATCACTAACATTTGTCTTGCTCTTGTCTGTTAATGCCTTTAAGGTGACCAGATTCTCTCTGACTCGGTCAAGTTCTGTCCCTCTTTAAAATCTGCATCTTTTACAGATTACCCCGTGCAAGTAATTTGCAGGCAATGCACAGGCAACTAGCAAGCTGTTTTTTTCTGTACAATTCACTGCCTGATCCACCTGCTAAGGCACTACCAGCCCACTTATCTTTTACCCACTTGTAGGTCCTCTCCATTTCTTTTTAAGATGTTGAATTCACCAGGGCAGGGAATATACTTTGTTTGTGTCTCCACTGCTTGGTACAATGGCACCATGATCTTTGATTTGAGATTCCTGAATGCTTCTTTTCTATAAAAAGGCCAGTGAGATGTGCTTCCTGGTTTACCAGACCTTGCTTTTTATTCTTGGATCATTTTTCCCAGCATATGTTGATGCTGTCTGCTACTTCTGTCTGTCTCCCTTTTCTGCTGTTACCAAACTAGGCTTTCAGCTTGGAAAGGAGCAAGGCAAGATAAATGAGTTATCTACTTTCCATGCCCTGTTCAAAGCAGCTTGAAACAGTATTAGGTTTTAATCAAACATAGCAAATCTGCTTCGTTAGAGAGAGACCAGATGTAAGCTTTCTCTTTTTTTGGATGGGGTTTGGACCTAGTGCAGCCAGCTAAATCAATACTATCTCCAAAGTCTGGATCTAGATGTTCCTATGTTTGGCTCTGCTTTTATTATTAAGTTTTAATAAATAAAAGGTCAAGTTTAGTGTAGTCCTTGTTAGCATGTGCTAAGTTCTGTCCCTTTAATGTACATTCATGGAAGCAAGGAAGAATCTGGTACCTGAAAGCTTGTCCGACAGCTTGCCTAGCTGAAAAGTAAGACAAAAAACCCTTGCTCTTTGGTGATTTGAAGCACTGAGCCAGAACTCGGGGGATGGGGGTTCAGCTCCCAGCTCTATTTCAGATTTTTACATAGATCCTTAAGTAGTCATTGAATCTCGGATGCCAATTCAGGAGCAGAACTGGGGAAGCCAGTAGGACTGATCACATATCAAAGGTTCCATATGTGCTTGAGTACTTTGAACAGGGACCTTTAAATGCCTGTTTTAAAATGGGTAAGTGTTATTACCTCTATCTCACAGGTTATTGAGGATAAATTCCTAGGTATTGGGGAGGTGCTCCCAGGGGTACTGTAGATAGATTGAGTGTGGGTCTTGTCCCATGGCCCCATGATCATTCCTGTTGCTTTGCTTTGGCAGAAGAGCAGTGACTCAAACCATATAACTTGCTGGGCTGTCTCTGCTTTCCTTTTCCTTGCAATGTGTGTACTGGCAAATGCTAATGCAGTGAGAATGGGGAGCTTCTTGCTGAGCTGGCTTAAAGGGTAATAAAAAAACCCCCAGGTTTTTTTTTTTTACAATGGAGTAACAAAAGTGGTTCTTTTTTTTTAATCTCTCCACTCTACCTGCTTCTGTTTCTGCTGTCTGCAGGAGCTTCTGCTCATGATGGATTTCCCCCCCTCCATTTTTATCTAGGTTTCAGCGCTTATCAGCTCAGAGTGGAACCAATTAAAGAACCCCATTTGGTGAGGTTAGCATGTCATGCAGCAGCATTGAGAAATCAAATTGGTTCCCCACAATCTGATTGGCTGCAGCAGTTGTTATTCATCACCAAAGAGCTTCCTCTCAGCTACGTCTTTTGTTTTATAGCCCTGTGCCACCGCAGCCGCAGGCCCCAGAGACTCCCTGGGCAGATGAGGAGAGCGCAGTTTATCACCTGACTGATGAAGACTTTGACAAGTTTATCAAGGAGCATTCGTCTGTCCTGGTGATGTTCCACGCACCATGTGAGTTACTTTTCCTTTCCATGTCCTGTTCCAAATGCTGGTTTATAATGAAGTGGAGGCTCGTTTCCATCTTGGTGTCGCATGCTGTGAATGTCAATATTAAGATTTTTTTTTTTATGATCCATCTTTGATGTAGCTGGCTTGCAGTGTTCATAAAGACACTGGCTGCGAGTTTAGGACAAGGATGGGCAGTCATAGAAGTTGCTGTTTTGCTGGACAGGATTGAAAAGCTTAATATCCTAAATAGTCTGGGAGCTCATTATCTAACACAGTGCTGTCACACATTTAGTTTATCCTGTTCCCAATTCCACTTTTGCTGCAGGGAGTCTGGGGGGCCTGCATGCATTATTTGAGCCAGAAACTCCCAAATTCTAATTCCACAGCTGTTAATGCTTCTGCCTCAGTTTCCCCATGTGCCAGAATGGAGATAATGAGTAATTTAACTTGTACAGAGGTGTGGTGTCTGCACATATTAAATAATGACCCTCAAAGACTTAAGGTACTGAACAGGTGTTGGTATTGATAGTACTTACTATTCTACCTAAAGTAAATTGAGTTGGATTAGATTACCCAGATTTCACATCTTGATCAAGCCAGATACAGAGTGTTGTCCTGGACCTTTGCTTTTGAGCTTCTTCAATGGGCTCTTCCACCCAGAGCACATTGAAATGACAGTGAGAAATTGCTTGGAGCACTTTTATAAATGACACCTGCATTTGGGGTCATTAAATATTGGTATTTGTCTCAGATGCTACAAACCTTCCTTGGGACTGCAAGCCTTACCAGAGTTTTCTGTGTTCAGTGTTCTTTGCTAATTGGACAGTTGAAATGCAATTCAGGCAGTATCTGGAGCATCCAGGCTAGCATTATACTTTATTAGCATTGCTCTTTGCTTGGCACTAAAACTCTAGTGTCGTGTAGATGTGTCTGGTGGTGGTGGTTGTTTCTAGCTGCAATTTGAGACGGCTGTTTTAATCTCTGCAGTTCAGTTATGGGGTAGGCTCAGCCCCTGGTTCTTCACCATCCTGGAAATTGCGATTGGCTGGGTTGCTCATGTAATAGCCTTAGATTTGAACACTGGGGCTCTGGAGTCAGAGTGCTCTCAGTGAAACTCTTGGCACAAGGGTTGAGATCATACCTTTATTGAAGTCTGTGGGATTTGGCACCTAAATACCTTTGAAAAATCTGTTCTTGCGGGGCGCTCAATTTTTACCTAAAGTCAAAAGAGAACTTGCTTTTGTCTAGTGGGACCTCTAGGAACCAACTAATGACATGATTTAAGTCAACTTAAGTTGTTGTTGTTCTTAATAATGGAAATAATGTCAGATGAGTGCTGGGTGCATAGTTTGAAAACAAAAAAATATTCTCTAGGTTGATAAGAATATAGATTTTTGTCGTGGATTTCTTGCCCACTAGAATCTGGAGAGGACACTTGCACTTTGTCAAGACTCCTATACACTTTAGCTTACCTTTTTAAAAATTGCATGGTATTTTAAGAGTAACAATTGCATTAAAATATGACTGTTCTCCTTTGGGGAAGCCTGTTATGTATACAGGCTAAAGGACACCTAAGTCTATGGTAGATGCTGATTTTAAAATAAACAGATAGCCCCTGTTAAGTTAATGCAGTTTTCCTAGATTTTGTCCCAACTCCCCTTAGCTGTGATTGAGAGCATATTTCCTGCTCAGACAACTCATTTTAACTGCACCTTTTTTACTTGGAAAATAGTTTTGTAGTTGTTTATGATCAGAAAACTCCTAGGGAAGACTTGCAAGGCATGTGAGTAGAGGTCTTGCCTACATACAGAATCTAGCTTGCAAATACAGAAAGAAGCCTTGCTTACAAGAATCCTCTGTGGGAATCCACAGCCGAGAATGGGCATGCAGACTAATTAAAAACAGACAGCTATCATAAACAGTTATCTCCATGATTAAAAGATTTTCTCCAGGCACTTCTTATATTTCCTGATGGAGTGACCTTATGAATATTAGGAGATATATTACTCCAGCTGCAGTACAAGCAGTAAAGACAAAGGACATCACTGCCTTATTTGTTTTAACCTTGGAAAACTTAAAGGATTTGAAAGCATCTTCTAAAAGTGTATGGAAAATAAGTATACTCCGTTGTAGAAGGAAGAAATAACAGAGAGGACAAGAATTCTGGACATGCTTCCCTATAAATGTCTCCACATATAGGAATTTGCAATAACATTTCCACCACTGGGCTAGAATTAGCCAGTATTTTAAATCTCATTCTAGTATACAGTGCATGTATTTAAGTACCATAAATCTTACTTTCATTTAAGGGGGAAAAAAATGCCTTTGCTGAAGGCAGAGTTATGGTAGTGATACCTTAATTGCAATTTCATAGTCAGATAGCCAACAAATTAATAGAACATAGTATTAAAAGACCCATAGGAGAATCAGCATTTTTCAATACAAGAGAGGATGCTGAGCCATATACGTTGTGGTGCAATTCCACCACTTAGTGGCATTATGCTGGGGGTGTATTTGGCCAGTTGTGGTGGCTCTGAATGTGGGTCCCTGTGGGTCAGGTTCTGAAATTTTTACCAAGGAAGAAATTAACTTGATTTCACTGCTTGAATGAAAGTGTTACTCCAGAAATAAAAGAAGAGGAACACCTTGGGTGTTTATACATGCGCTCTGGTTGTGGGGTGCTTGAATCGGAGCGGCTCCAAGAGATGCTGTAATTAAAGCACCTGGAGTGTCTTGTGTATCAACTCCCTGCACTTAAAAAATGGTGGCAGGGGCACTTTAACTCTTTAGCCCCCACCACTATTTTTAGCTGCAGGGATGCTGATGCATGTGGTGCTGGAGTCTTTTGGAGCATGGTAATTATCACGCTGCAGCGGACTCGATTAATCGCATCTACTCCACGGTGCTGTAATTACAGCATGTCAGAACAGCCTCACTGCTCATGTATAGGTGCCCCTTTGTGTTTTATGTCCATCCTCGTCTGACTAATGCAGTTCAGCTGGACCCAGGTGTATATGAGTTACCTTAGCAGTTGTGATCAGTGCAGCTCACACTGCTGTCTGACCAGCCTTTCCCTAGTCTTGAGATTAGGCTTTCTTTGAAACTGGAGGCATCAGATGGCAAGAAGTTTCTCTGCTTCAGATTGCTGTGTTAAATTCCTAAAACTGGGTAAATAATGGTGGGTGGGCAGAATGGATTTGGCTGGCTTCTCTGTTTTGGATTAGTTGGGGCACAACGGAAAATTTTGCAACCTTCTAAAACAAATAGCACTGTAAAGCTCTTAAGAGGATGTTCAGCTAATCTGCACAATTGGGCTAGGCAAACACCTAACCCAGCCAGGTGCACTTCTGCTGTGTGCGTCTGCATACCACCTCTCCAACCATCCAAGCAGGGTCCATGTTGCTGCATGCCTTTTATTCAAATAGTCTGTGGTGTGTGGGGGGGGGGGTTTAATTTCAGTTTTAGTCACTGGCCGCTTCTTCAGTTCTGAAGTTATTTTGTTATGTGACATCAAATACAGATGTATGTTCGCTCAGATTTAGTTGCTTCACAATGAACATTTCATATGAGAAATGGATAGAGGTGGGTGATAAGCAGGGATCCTGGTTTTCTCTGTTTAAAACCTCTAAATTCTCTTTATTAACCTCCCCCATCTGCATTTTGCCACAATTAAAATGAATCGCCACTATATAATTAATTAGGTGTCAGTTGAACACAATGTTGTATTGATATATTACAATCTTTAAACAGTTTGGAAGCCTACCAGTGCCTCAGTCATTATAATATAAAACAAATTCTAATTACCTATATATTTTCATGTTTAATTTTTGTTTTGTTTTTTATCATGGAAAATTTAAAGCTCCCCTGCCCCCTTCACTCACCAGGATGTGGGTCCAGCTGCGGCTGTCCCTCCCTGCTGCTTTGTGGCACTGAGCAGCCCTGATATGCTGGTGCCCTGCCCCTGCCACTACCCCTCACTCCCCAGCCACAGCCCCGTGCCCCTTGCCATGGTCAGTCCTGCGCGAACTCACAGGATGGTGGTCTGTGAGGACACAGTGGAGACAGCCTCTAGCGTGAGGTGCATACAGCATACCTAAAGTGGAAGCACAAGCAGCAGCTGGAGCATCACATGCTGCCCTGTGCCACCGGCTGGGGCCGGGGCTGGGATGTGGCGGGGAGGACCAGCACTGTGCTCCACAGCAGCAGGTTTAAGCCAAACCAAGCTCAGCTCTGGCCTGGGCTATACTGCAGGGGAGGGGCTCCAGCTGCTCTCCATCCCATCAGGCCAGAGCGTGGCACCTGCAGCTCATGCAGGCAGCAGCAGAGCAAGTCCAGCCCCAGATGGAGGAGAAGGGGAGCTGGTCTTGCTGGTAGCACCAAGTGGTTCCTCAGACCCTCCCCTGCCCTGCTGCAGTCTTGGTGCCTGGACATCTTCTCCCAATGCTGGCAGGCACCCCCTCCCCCCAGGATAGTCCCCAAGCCCTGGCCCTCCAACACCTTCCCCCATTGACTTACCTGTATGCAGCTGCTGGAAAGGCTCCCACCACCCTGCCTGGCTGTATGTCAGCTGAGTGTGTATGAGCACATGCATGTGCACCCTGTGCCTCCAATTGCCCTCCTCCCACTCCTCGCCAGCCCCAAGCAGCTTCTTGCAGGCCGGAAGGCTGACCGCCTGTAAGGGGAAACCTGCCACTTCCCAGTTTTCTCCTCTTAAAGGAGAAAATGTGTGTTCTTCTGTGGCAAACAGAAAACCCGGATCCCTGGTGATAAGGACTCTATGCGTACCACAAATGAAGTCATTAGTTGTATTGTAATGGGATCTGTGAACGAACCCTGTCACAGATCTGGACCCCAGTATGATAGATACCATACCAGTGCAGAACACGGCAGCCATCCCTACCCCAAAACGTTTACAGCGTAGACTTTTAAGAAAGACAGGAAAGAGATCTTGGGTCCATTGTTTTTAGCAAACTGTCCACATCAGCACAGTGTTCAGGAGCAGT